TTGAGATGTGATGAGCTTACAAGGTCTAAAAGTGTCACTCCAGGTTCTCAGCTTTGCACTCTTATCTAAAAATAGCCAAGGAGAAGTCGAGGGAAGACGGAGTCACTAAAAGCCATTTTGTTGTCTCTTTGTAAACAGCAACAATAACATGTATACACGCTCTGTAGTGTTAGTGTTCATGGCTGTCATGTCCTTTTGTGTAAATATCAGATATGTATGTCTGCAAGCCAAGGTCAAATAAGGAAATATGAAGCAACAGCGCCCCCAAGAGGACACTGGGTAGAACTTATCAGGGTAGGCCCACTTTACTGCAATAACACTATAGACTACAGCACATGTTAACGCAATAATTAGCCAAATAATGAATGATTTCATGTATTTTAATATGTTATCAAAGTGCATCATAGAGTACTCGTTTAGCAGATATAATCTCTTTTTCTACACAGCCAAGATTTACAGTACATTCATGTATTTGTGTGAACTCGGAGTGATAACACACACACACACACACACACACACACGATCAGTCAACACTGATTACTGTCTATTCCAAAGATGAGGTGTTTGTTCACTTTAATAACAAATGCAAAACTAATGTACTCTTTTTTTTGTTTTCTATATTAGTGCAACGTTTTTTTCACAATCTTACAAAAAACCAGCAAGAGAGACGTAGGAAATGTCTGTTGGGGAGGGGGGTGACAACAAGGGCATAAAGGGACGTTTCGGACAACAGGATAATAAAAAACACCATTTGTAATATTTACTGGCCAATCAGAGTGCTGTATTTTGTGCCTGCTGTATCTTCTTCTATGCTACCTGTCAATCAAATCAATAAACAAGATATTAAACCATTAATGTGTCGTCAGTGTTGGTTTGTGTAAATAGAGTATCACTTATATCTGTAGTGTGATTGACAGGAGTTTAAAAATCAAGCCATTCTGACGTGTAGAAGTCGTGTTACAATTCAAGCTAAATCTTGAGTTTGGTCCCAGAAAAACACTGGCAAAGACAAAGAGAAATGACTTGATTTGTCGTGTGAAGCTGTTGAAACAGTCATTGGTCTTTGGCTGCAGCAGATGAAGCTCCTGAAGTCAGTTTTTCATCCGGAGAGACGGCCGGCTGTTTGCCCAACACTGACTGGATGTGGCTGAGCAGGGCCGAGAAAAACTGAGGCACTCCTTCATATCCTGAGAGGGAGAGAGAAGTGTATATCAGTTTACATTTGTATGTGTGTGTAGTGTCACGAGCTCCACATCGTTTCAAATCCTGCCTCCCTCCTGGCTCTTGCGATCATGAATGCGTGTCATTCTAGCCTAAATACATTACAAAAATATTTTCAGGTGCTTGCCCATTTAAAGGTTAAAGGTTTGTTTATACATGGTACTTTAGGCTGCCTTACAAATGAGTGCAGGCCTAGTTTAACACGCAAATACATTTTATAAATGAGTAGTTAGTCCTTATTCCTTCTCTCTTTTGGTAAAGTGTTCCCCTGCAAAACACATATTGTTGACCCTTTGCAAACTTGCTGAATTTCAAATAGTTTACAACAATATTAAAAAACAGTTTCACACCAGCCATGTTCCTGATAATGATAAGAGACGTCTCTGCCACATGTTGATGTCGATGACGGTGAGGGTGTGTGTGTGTGTGTGTGTGTGTGTGTGTGTGTGTGTGTGTGTGTGTGTGTGTGTGTGTGTGTGTGTGTGTGTGTGTGTGTGTGTGTGTGTGTGTGTGTGTGTGGAGCTACCTGGGAAGATGTTGATGTCGATGACGGTGAGGGTGTGTGTGTGTGTGTTGATGATGACGTCCACGCCGAACAGAGCCATGCCGAGCTGAAGTCGCAGCTCTTTGACCAGAGCGGCCACGGCCTCAGAGCTGGGGGGGGGCAGCAGGGGCGTCTGCTCGTCCAGCTGAGAGGTAAGGTAAGGTAAGGTAAGGTAAGGTAAGGTAAGGTACGGTAAGGTAAGGTAAGGTAAGGTAAGGTAAGGTACGGTAAGGTAAGGTAAGGTAAGGTAAGGTAAGGTAAGGTAAGGTAAGGTAAGTTTATTTATATAGCACATTTTCAGACACAGAGGCAATTCAAAGTGCTTCACATCATCATTAAAACTTAATAAGAAGACAACAGAAAGAAACACAATAAATAAACACAATGGAATAACAGATTCATAAAAACCATGCATAAAAGAGATGCAGAATATTTTAAAAACAACATTGTAAATACGGTAGGTGCTAAAACAAGTTAAAAGACTTCTGGGTAAGCAGCTGTAAAAAGCTTAAACATCAGGAAGACAAGAAGGAGGACAATTCTAGCATTTATTTACAGAAAGTTATCTGGAAATGGGACAGAATCTACATGTTAACTTCACATTCAATGAGGCCCTTTTTCAAGCAGTTTTGCAGTCATAGTATCCCTTAGGTTGGGATAAGAAGTGAGAAATAAGAGGAGAAGTCGATATAGGCTTTGTTAAAAACAGCGTTATGACTTACTGCTGTGAGAGCAGAGTTGGACTCGGGCTTGGACACATGATGGCTGTTGAAGAAGATCGTGTTCCTGTCTGGAGGCAGAGAGAGGACATACGTGAGGAGAGGATACAGGGAACACATGGTGCAAAGAAAAGCAAGGATGTACACCGTAGGTCAAAGCGAAACAGAGACAGTACAATAATTATATATGGTATATATGCTATGATATAGCGCTTTGTAGTGCTCCAAGACACTTTACAAGCAAATAAAGACAATTAAGTATGTAACCCCAGAACCTGCTTCATACTTTTTCCATTTTACGTCAAAACATTTTTTAAAAGCCTGCAGGTGGCACTAGATTAAAAGAAAGTAAATCACCAAAGTTATAGGGAAGGAAAGGAAAGGAAAAGAAAGGAGAGGAGGGGAAATGTAAGGAAAGGAAAGGAAAGGAATTAAGTAAATGAAAGGGGGAAAAGGAAGGTATAGGAAAGGAAAGCAAATTAAAAGACAGGAAAGGAAAGGAAAGTATAGTAAAGGAAGGAAAAGGAGATGAGAGGGAAAGGAAGGAAATGAAAGGATAGGAGAGGAGAGGAGATGAGAGGAAAGGAAAGGAAAGGAGAGGAGACGAGAGGAAGCAAAGGAAAGGAGAGGAGAGAGAGAGAAGAGGAGAGGAAAGGAAAGGAGAGGAGAGGAAAGGAGAGGAGAGGAGAAGAGGAGAGGAAAGTCCTTCTCTTCGAGGCTCTCTTCCTTCCCTTCCCCTTCCTTCCCTTGTCTTCTCAAGTCTCTTTCTCACTTCCTTCACTCCTTCTTTCAAAGTTCTTCTCTTCTACTCTCTTGGAGGAGGAAGGAAAGCTTCCCCAAAGGAAAGGAAAGGAAAAGAAAGGAGAGGAGAGGAGAGGAGAGGAGAGGAGAGGAGAGGAGAGGAGAGGAGAGGAGAGGAGAGGAAAGGAAAGGAAAGGAAAGGAAAGGAAAGGAAAGGAAAGGAAAGGAAAGGAAAGGAAAGGAAAGGAAATGAATGGAGGTCTTTTTTTAGTTCCTGCAGACTGACCACAGGGGCCAGGAGGGAAGTTCTTGAGGGAGGGTCTCTCTACGCAGAAGTGTTTCTCTCCCACCACGAAGACTTTGTGCAGAACAGCTCCGTGATTAACGAAGCTCTGCAGAACACAGGGAGCACGAACATCTGCCAGACCCCCCCCACTGAAGATCAGACACATCTGCAAAGCACACACATCATGCACTTAGTGAACAGAGAGGAAATCAAAGGAGGAAACACACATGGATTCATAATGTTGACCTTACTCACCTCGTGGGAGAGAGAGCCATGAGCCACTCTGGTTTTACAAACTGGGGTCAACAGAGACAAAGAGGAAGTGTTAGTGCGTCTGCCAAACATCATGAGGAGGCAAACAGGAAGGAAGGACACTTGGATGTTGCATTATCTTATTAAGTATGTGCACATTCACAACAGAAATCTAATCATTGGATGATCATCCAAATTTAATTTTGTTAAAACATTAGCGACAAGAGGAAATCAATATATCGTTTTTTCTCAAACCATAAATCAGAAAATGCTGTCAAACGCCACTGAAAACGATATTTCTACATGTTTTTAGTAGTTAAAGTCTCTATAAATCAGGCTATGAATGATAAATGAAAAAACTCCTCAGTAAAAACCTTTGGAATAAAGAAAGTAATGAAACTGGAGAGTGGGTTGTATGTGAGTGCTACTTAAGTAGAGATTTCAGGCTCCGAGTATAAGAAGAAACATGTGTTTAAATGTTTACAAAGTATAGTACTTACACAATTATTTTTGGTATTTACAGTTTTCGTTAAAATATGCAAACAAGGAATCATTCAGTGGTGACTTTCGGTGGATTCAGGAGAAGTGTACAGATGCAAATGGACCAGTAAATAAACACCTTATTGTTCTTGCATGTAGAGCCGGGGTGTCAAACTCAAGGCCCGACTTCATTTGATCCGGCCCGCAAGAGCTTGCAATACGGTTACATGCCGCTGTACAGAAGCACGTTGCCCATAAACTACATGTCCCACAATGCATCTGATTTTGTGACAATGAAGAGACTTGCAATTATTTGCCCTAGACTTCTGCTTCCAGACGTAATTAATTATGAAGTTATTACCCTACGCCGCTTCCGGACAGGCAAGGCAGGCAACTGGGGCCCCGGACCAGAAGGGGGCCCCCAAAGAAGGTAGATTAAGAAGGTCCACAGCAACGACAACATGAAGGGGGGGGGGGGGGGGCGTGCTGTCGGCTGTGCGTGGTGATGAAAAGCTGGTTAGAGGGGCCCCCAGTGAATGTTTGAATGTTTGCCTAGGGCCCCCACAGACTCTAGAATCGGCACTGCCTATCCGATAATAATCCAATGCAGAGGCAATAATGTAATATAATACATTATTTTATATATATTATATATTTATATGTATAATTATATAATCTTAAAGTTACAACTGGCCTTTTGAGTGCAACCATAATGCTAATGTGGCCCGCGATGAAATTGAGTTTGACCCCCCTGATGTCTCAAAATGTAGGGTTTTTGCTAATGAACACAGGAGAGTGAGATAGGAAGGATACAGAGAGAGAGAGAGAGAGAGAGAGAGAGAGAGAGAGAGAGAGAGAGAGAGAGAGAGAGAGAGAGAGAGAGAGAGAGAGAGAGAGAGAGAGAGAGAGAGAGCACTGACTGAGAGGAAAGCTGAGAGTGGTCACAGCTTGTTGAACGGACGACAGATCATCAGCACTCTGGATCTCCAGGTAGGAAGGACTGCAGACACGCCAGTCTGTCGGAGAGAAGATATACAGTAGTAGAACATATAATAATTATAATGGATTAGGTAGTGTAATGAACAGGTCTGTGGATGTAAAACGTATCATACAGTTACTCCTTTTGAAGGTGCCATCCAAACATTCAGAATAGACAACATACAACAACAAAGACAGCATTCATACATACATAAAAGAATAACGAAATAAAGTGCAGGAATGACTTCATGGTAGAGTCAATATGTATGTATGATCAATTATATATATTATTGCACAGGGGAGGAAGACTAAGCGGTTTTAGTGCAAGAGTTCAGCCATGATTGCTCTGGGGAAGAAACTGTCTTTGAGTCTTTTTGTCTTTGCTTTTCATACACTTTTTCAAACAAGTGAAAACCGGGGGTGTGAACTTTCCTTTACAATGAGAAGAGAGCAGAGAAGACTCCTGGAAATAAGAGATTCACTGAGTAAAAGTTATAAATATTATAATATATCTTAAAGGTCCCATGTCATGGCCATTTCTACTGATCATAATTCCATCGTTGAGGTCGACTAGAATAGATTTAAATTGTGCAATTTTCCAAACTCACATTGGTTTCTCATACAGCATCTCTGTATAGTATGTGTATTCACTCTCTGTCCTAAACGGCTTGTTGGAGCTTCCCCCCCCCCCGCTCCCTGTGAGCCCAGTGTGCTCTGATTGGTCGAGACGTTGCTGCGAGCAGCTGCGAGGAGCGGACAGGTTTCCGGGTCGGCGATACAGCGAGAACAAGCGAAACTCATCCTGAGCACACACAAACACTCACAGCCGAAGTAAAAGCAATAAGTGTGTCTTGATATTGACTAAGAAAAAGGTTTATAACGCTGTGAGAATGGGTCTGCAGAGAGCATTTGTCCGCCATCCCAACTCGTCTATTACCAGCGTTCAGGGAGCTCTATGCAAGTCAATGGGGACTCCCTGTTAGTTAGCCAAGGGATCCTGGTGTGTGAGGTGCTCCAAGGATTGGTCCATTTGGGCCAATCCGGTCATTTGTTGTTGATTTGGGTGTTCACACGTCACAGAACCCAGGAAGCAAACAATGGAAAAAGAGAAATCCCCGACGAGGCGTTCTGGGGCAGCATAGACAGGTCTTTTCTGTGTTAGAGTTTTACTCGCTACAGGGTGTACTTTGAGGGTTTGTGACTCTGCAGACCGTTTACATGCAGAAAAACCTTCATAACACACAAGGGGACGGGTAATAACCGGAAAAGCATGACATGGGAGCTTTAACCAAAACAACCAACTAAAGAGAGGTCAAATAAGTACAATAAACGATACACACATAGCCAATCCTCTCTTTGAGACATTGGATAAAATGCAACAGATTTACATAATTTGTACTTATTTCTAGTGTAATAAACATTGATTTGCACCTTCTGCGTACACTTTTGGATTGTAGCACTTTGCCTTAACCAACCTCACTTGTTGTAATGGTTGGATTTGTTATTGTTGTGTGTTTTCTGTTGTTGTTTAGAGTAATAATAATGAACAAAGCAACAGTTCACCTCGGAGTGAATTGTGCAGCTCGCTCATGATCCGATACGATGCAAAGCGGTCGAGCAGCCGGGTCATGGCGGGCAGCGGGTCCAGAAGAACCGTGCTGGGGTTACCTGACACAAAACTCTGTAATGAGAGAGACAGACATCATCGAGCATACAGTATCAATAATAACGGCTTATTAAGAAGAACACAACTTCATTCATAATCAATATTCCTCTTAAAAAGCATCAATGGGAAAGAAGAAAAAAACCAGAATCAGAATCAGAAATAGTTGCTTCATTTTGGAATAAAATAAAGTAAAATAAAAATGTATAAATAAAATAGAATAAATACATATAATACAAAAATAATACAAATATTTTAGAAAACATGGAAAAGTCACGATAAAAAAAATACACATTGTAAAACAACATAGACAAATACAAATATGTAAAATGTGTAAATTACAATTATACATTATATTCTATTAATAACATTAATGCTGTGTGGTAAAGTCATTTTAAACTGATATGAGTATTGCACAGTTGTATAATTAATGTAAAAGTTTGATCTTTTGTTTACCTGGAAGTTGGCGAGGAGCTGCTGTGATTGGCTGTCGTGCTCAGCCTCCACAATGACGTCAGACAGCTTGTGGACGATGACGTCAAAGGGCCCCTGAGGTCCCATTGGCTGAGTGAGGTCGATCTGACAGGATATATTAGCCATTTAACATGTTGAGGTTTTTAATTGTATGTTTTTAATTACATAACGTTACAGTGTTTGGCCACCAGGGGGCAGTATGACCCTGTCTGTGAGGAACTGGTCAGGTGTTTTAGGGTCACAGGAAATATTGTTGAGCAGAAGTGGCGGGACCATGGGTGTTTCTCAATCGCGAGTAAAGCTGCTGCAGAGCCACTATTTCAAGCATACTACGTCATCGAGTGCCGCCGAAGTACTGTTCCAATCTCCAGCATACTTGGAAATCTACCGAGCCCGCCGTACTCCGTTTGGAGAAATATCGAGGCTGCACATGAGTAGACTCCGCGGTCTTAAAATCCCCACAATGCTTTGCGCACGGACCAATTTCCCAAATCTGTGGCGGAAGATGTAAGAGGCGGGGCCTCTCATATGACGCACACCTGCACACTTGCTAGCCTGTTCCACTCTTTGGGTGTTTCTCAATCGCGAGTACGCTTGCTTGGTAGCACATGTCTGCCGAGCATCTTGCTTCAGAAGCGAGTCAAGAATACTTCCTAGCATTTGGAAAACAAAGAGTGGAACACGCTAGCAAGTGTGCAGGTGTGTGTCATATGAGAGGCCCCACCTTACATCTTCCGCCACAGATTTGGGGAACTTGGTCCGTGCGCAAAGCATTGTGGGGATTTTAAGACCGCGGAGTCTACTCATGTGCAGACTCGATATTTCTACGTACGCCGGGCTCGGTAGATTTCCAAGTATACTGGAGATTGGAACAGTACTTCGGCGGCACTCGATGACGTAGTATGCTTGAAATAGTGGCTCTGAAGCAGCTTTACTCGCGATTGAGAAACACCCTGAGTTTTCCAAATGTCAGGAAGTATTCTTGACTCGCTTCTGAAGCAAGATGCTCGGCAGACATGTGCTACCAAGCAAGCGTACTCGCGATTGAGAAACACCCACTGTGTGCTGTGTGCTCTGCATGTGTGACCATTAAAGACGGTTTCATCCCTCCGATTCAATCTATTCTGTCAGTTTGTCTTGTCCTGTCTCCATGTCAGTAGTCTGCGTACCAGCAGTTACTTACCTTATCTCAAGCCTGATTCATGCTCCTGATTTACTTTGTAAATTTTGTTCCTCACTTAATGAGCGATTTTCTTTCGTGCCTTTTTTAACCTCGTGATCGATCTTGTTTTGTATTCCTATTTTTGAAAATAAAGTATTTACTCATACTTTACCTCTGTCTCCCGGCTCGTGCATTTGAGTCCTTTACCTTGTGTATCTATATAAAAATCAGTCTTGAGATATTCCCTGTAGTACTTTTGCATTTGCCCTATCCAAATGCATTAAAATCTATAACAGGTATGCATCATCATTATTTAATGTTTATAGTTTAAGTACAGTTTTTTCCCTCATTTATGTTGATCATTACATTAAGTTTCATTTAGCTAACGCTTTTATCCAAAGCGACTTACAATAAGTGCATTCGACCAAGAAGATACAAACTAGAAGAAAACAGAATCATATAAGTACATCAGGTTTCATAGAGCCCAAGCATTTCAAGTGCTACTCAACAGGCTTTAGATAAGCCAGTCCTTAGTTAGTATAAAGTGCTTTGTTAGTAATTCTATCGCTCGAAGTGGAGTCGAAAGAGATGAGTTTTCAGTCTGCGCCGGAAGATGTGTAAGCTTTCTGCTGTCCTGATGTCAATGGGGAGCTCATTCCACCATTTTGGAGCCAGGATAGCGAACCCACGTGTTATCATCATCATGTTTCTGAGAGCTTAAGGATACACACAATGAGATTTGGGGAGTTAAATATAAACATAGCTTTTGTTTGTTCATTAAAAAATAACTTCACGTGGCTCTTTTAGTGTTCATTATGGCAGTTCACATTTCTGTAGTAGTTTTTCAATGAGTGCCTCCCAACAGCTATAGATTTGCATACAGGGCCATAACCGTTTGTCTTGTCTGTTACGTGCACGGCGAACATGTAAAGCGGTGTCATTGTGTCTTTGCATAATGTGCCTTCTCAAATCGTCCTTTCATGAGTTGCTTTGAAAGTTACAGATAAGTAAGAGTAAGTTCAAATGTTCATAACAATTCCATGGAAGACAATATTAAAAAACAATCTTTCAAGAACACGAATCAACCAAAAACAAGTCCTAAAGTCATTTTCTGATACTTCCTCTAGTACATGCATTAGCCCTGTCCAAATGCATACATGTCTTTGCAATAACCTCCCCGGGGCGAGTTACATTCAATATAAAAATAAATGTTGTTTGTTCACAAGAGAACTCTACAGGGCATCTTTACTGTTCATTAAAGCAGTTGTCCACATTTCTGTAGTAGTTTTCTCCTTGACTATCTCCCAGCACCTGTAGCTTTGAATATAGGGCCATCACCGTTTTTCTGTTACTTGGAAAACATAGAAAGCAGAATGGTAAAACATGTAATCTAAGATAAACCAATCTTTCTTCTATGAGTCACTGTGACAATTCTAGATAAGTTCATAAAAAAATGGCATAACGTGTATGGACCTGTGGAAGAATAGCCAGAGCTCATGTCTGTGCTAATATCTTAATAAAGACAAAGACAGACAAATACATAACATTTTAAATTGAATCATTTTAACATGTAAAACACCACAAATAGCTTGTGGTGGTTTATATCAGACTTAAAATAAAACGTGGTATAGAATCAATAATCTCTTACAAATACAAAAGTGGGATAGAATGTAATTCAAGATAAGTTAATATATAAAATATTAGAGGAACTATCATTTTATGTCTGAAAGCCATTTTTACTTTCAATTCTGTGAATTCGTTTAGCACAGACTTTTACCTGACTTATGCAATGTATGTATTTATTTATAAATGAAAGAAAACACAAGTCAATACAAAAATAAAACTTTTCTTTAAAATGTTTAGAGTACAAATAAACCAAAAGGTTAATTAAAATACTTTAAAACATCAGAGCAGTCCTTCCACATACAAGACGAGTGAATGCCTGACCATACTCTAAGATAGCAGCTGAAGATACAATAATCCCTAAAGTTCCCTTTTAAGGTAATTTCTATCTTGCAAAACGGCCCCATCCTTATACTGTAATATGACACTTCCTTACTGCCGACTGTATGAGTGCATTGTAAATGTGTGACCTGCCCATCACGAAGGGAAGGTATATATGAAGTTGACCGTGAGTCCTGAACACATGCTGAGGACCGGTTGTCTGAAACCTTTGACCTGAGGACTTTACCTAGTGCACAACATCTTCCCATCCTTAAGGCTGGTGAGTTCAACTTTTAAATCATATTTTGACCATCTTTCTTTTCTGAAATACTTTTTTGCATTTGCCATGCCACTGTCCTAACGTATCTGTGTTACTGGTACAAATGATGATGCAGCTCATTGTTTATGACTTGCTTTGAGTATCTGCTTGGATTCAACAGATATCCTGACTGCAGCGATGGAGGGCAACATGTGGATCTTTGCTACACTGGGTCTACTCCTTTGCTGGATGATGCCTGTTGACTCGGTGAGTTGAGCATGTGGAAGTGGGTGTTTTAAAGATCAAGTTCATATATGTATAAAACATCTCAGCAGTGAAACTAGAATAGTGTGTTCTTTGGAAGCCTGGGAAAAACTTGATTTATACTTTTTGAATAATCCTTTTTATGCGATCTGGTTGGGACAAATGGTCATTATCAGAACCTGTATTTTGCATCAAAGAATTTTTTGCATGAGTATAATTGGTCTCCTTTTTAAAAATGTATTCTTAAGGAACTACTATGAGTGTGTACAAGTGCTATAGTGGCAGTGTTACTAGGATACCATCATTTACTAAGTGATGCATTTGAGCTTACTCTCAAGCTTACTCTCAAGCCTCAAGCCTGCTCCCAATCGTAACTCATTTGACAACTTTCACCATCTAAATAAGGTTCTAAAAGAGACACTGTTATACAGTACAGTTTTAACAGTGCTGGTTTAATGATGTTTGTTTTCATCTTTCTCTTTGTTTTGTTTTTTAGGTCCCAATTGGGGCCGAAGTGGCCAAAAAGGGGATCCGATTGACCATGGTTAAAGATTCGGTTGATGACATGTATCTTGGCTGCAATGACAAAATGATGACAAAAGTGAAGGACAAATTCCTTAAAGAAGAAAAAGCTGTGAACAATTTTGGAGAACACTGGAGTGTGGGAGAATCTTGTGCAAAAGATACATTTGGTAAAAGGAAGGATAAGGCTCTAACCAGAGATCACATTATTGCAATCTGTGTTTACACAAATAACGGTGTGTACGAGGACTTTAATACTGCAGTCCGGACAGAAGGGAGAATCTATCCCCGTCCCTTCAATTTCAAATTCCGCTCTTTACATTACCTGCTGACATCTGCCATACAGATCTTGAATAACAACAGCCCCTGTCACACTACTTTCAGACGAACCAGGGTTTTATTTACTGGTGAAGTCGACGAAATAATTCGGTTTGGCTCCTTTGCCTCAACATCTTTCAGTTCAGAGTTGACGAACTTCGGTTTTAAGACCTGCTTCAAAATTAAGACCTGTTTAGGCGCATCTGTGAAAAAATATTCAGCCATTCCTACAGAGGACGAGGTTCTCATCCCTCCCTATGAGACATTCAAGATAACTGAGAAAGGTCAAAGGGTCGAAGGTCTGGAGGATTGTGAAGTTGTCTTTGTCTTGGAGAGTGCAGGGGTCATGAGCTCTCTGAACTGCAAGGCCTTGGTTTGAAATGAAGCTGCATTGCTCAAACAAATGGAAAATACCATGTCCATCTTTAAACCTTCTAACTAGCTTGTCATAAATGAATTAGTTACACGGTGTTAAACATGGCTTTATTTTCTCTACGCTGATTAATTTTAATGCTCAGGCTTTGATCAATCATTGTGGACTTGTTTAATCAAATGTTCCAGCAACGTGGTATATTTTCTGTGTCCAATTACAAAGAGACGTTTTAGATCTGTGTTGTTGTAATTGTTCAAAAGAAAATAACTGCTTCTGCTTAATACTAGTCATTAAACTGCTAAATGCAATAATGTGGCTTGTCTGTTCTTATTTTTCAGTGTCGTGTTTTATTCAAATGTTTACTCTAACATTTACAAACAAATTCAAATAAATGGTATTGCATTGCACGCATTTCCTGCATATAGAACTCCATATTTCCATGGTTTCTCATTCTATCTTGGTCAATTGTAATCTCAACAACAGCTCATCAACACAATCCGATACCTGTTCTTACTCACATAGGAAGTGTTACAAAATGATCCACAAAATCAAGCCAGCAAATCCGTGTTATAATCCGTGTATCTACCGTCCAATTGTTTTTCTTTATTAAACACGTAAACGGAAGAGCGTCTGAGAGACGTTTTTGCTTTTTGCTTTTTACCTTACTAAATGGTCTAATGGTCGTTGGAGCGAGGGGCGGGGATAATATTATAAACAAGGGGAAACTAGGTGAATTTAGCGATCACAACGAAAACGGCCAAGACACATTCTGGGTGTTTCTCAATCTTGAGTAAAGCTGCTCCAGAGCCACTATTTCAAGCATACTACGTCATCGAGTGCCGCCGAAGGACTGTTCCAATCTCCAGCATACTTGGAATTCTACCGAGCCCAGCGTACTCCGTTTGGAGAAATATCGAGGCTGCACATGAGTAGACTCCGCGGTCTTAAAATCCCCACAATGCTTTGCGCACGGACCAATTTCCCCAAATCTGTGACGGAAGATGTAAGGCGGGGCCTCTCATATGACGCACACCTGCACACTTGCTAGCCTGTTCCACTCTTTGTTTTCCGAATGCCAGGAAGTATTCTTGACTCGCTTCTGAAGCAAGATGCTCGGCAGACATGTGCTACCAAGCAAGCGTACTCGCGATTGAGAAACACCCATTGAGCCCAGAAAATGAATGTTATTAAGGGCTGTAAATATAATAAGTCTGTGTCTAAAATGGACAACATTGTTAGGAGATTTAAACTATACAGCGATTCTGCTATCTTTGATGAGTGATAAAAAGACAATTTTACCATTAGTTCTTAATGATTTGATACTGCTGGACTCAGTAGTCTTACACCTACTACCACAATACAATGAATTACTTCTAGTGTGTTGTTTAAAAAATCCTCTGTCAATGTCCCCTCCTGAGAACAAAATCAAGCCACTTCTGCTAAGTTTGATGAGGGAAAAAATGATTTTTGCCATTAGTTCTTCGTGAGATTGACACTGTTGGACTCAGTACTAGTGAAACTACTCCCACAAGTACTATGAAATACTTTTACTGTATACTTTTTGAGTAATCCTCTGTCAATGTCCCCTCCTGAGTACAAGAATGCATGTTTCTCTGCTATTTTGAATCAGCGTTACAACACCTTTCTTCATGAGACTTATATTGTTGGACAGAGTATTTTAAGAGGATATGACATGATATCAGCAATACTTCCAGTCAGGCGCGCCGGATTCATTTTAGAAGTGGGGGGGGCAAAAAAGTGTGTGGCTGCGTTTCACTTCGGTTAAATGGATTCCTTGCGTCCCTCACTTGCGTCGTTTCCCTGCGACTAGTCCCTCCCACCAGGGAAGCATGGAGAGACGCAAGGAAACCACGAGAAGCAGGGAAATGAGTGTCACTAACCGATCGGTCCACCTGCCCGATCTGTACTGCGCATGTGCGAGATGGTCCGCCATATTGGACATCTACATACGGCAACTCTACTAGGACACTTGACACAGAGGCTTTTGGCAAAGCAGAAAAAGAACCGAGAGAGCCCCACCTAGTGTCAGCAGAAAGTATTACAAATAATGATTACAAAAAATGCAAAAAATAAATAAAAAAATATATAAAATATATTTTAAGATCATGTTTAATCATCTGATTTGTCTGTACATTGCTGTTTTAGTCTGTGTTCTTCTAATTAGTGTGTCTACAGTCACAGTGTGCCTATTGAGCTGTTTAGAGCCATGTGGGACAAAACCTGATCATGCCCCTCCCTTTCGCTGTGAAGTGAACGGTGACTGTAAAAACTACACTGCGCATGCTCAGAGTATTTTCCTATTGAATGTGTGTGGCAAAAAAATAATGACCATCGGGGCACTGAGCTGCCATCCCCACCATACGTCATCTCACATCATTCAGAGCTGATTGGCTGTAAGTACGTGTGCCGCGAAAAGTGTGGTGTGTGAAGAGGAGACGAGAGAGCTGCAGTGACGCGTCCTAAAACCAGGAAGTAAGCTGCGCTTGGCTTCCCTCGACAAAAAAGCAATGAGGTTTCTCCATAGGATTTTAGAAAATAGCTCGAAATAAGATCTGTGGGAAACGTACCTGTTAGATAAATGCACGTTTTGTTCAGCCGGATAATATCCACATGTCTACCCTACTTTTATAATTTTTTTATCATAAATCTATCGATTAGATTTATGATAGACTTTTGAAACTACAAGAAGATAAGGAGGACTTTTACCAAAAAGTAATAGACATTTTTGTCCAGAAGGATAGGCAAATGGACTTCATCTTCAAGTCAAGGTAAGACCGCAATTTTATTGAAAATGCGATCTTACTAAGAGAGAACAATTCAATATTTAAATGATAAAATTACATTTTTTGGGTAACCTTTTGTTGAACTGTCTGTTTAAAATTAATCGAAGCATCAGACAAAAAAAGCTTTTGAAAATAATATTATATTTTGGTTTAGGTCAAAATATAATATTTGTAAACCTGAAGAGTCAGTGCCAGTGCCTCACCAGCCATGAACCTCACTGCACATCACTGCAGAAGCTTATATATAGACATCTAAGTTTTTTGTGCCCCACCACTTTTGTACATATAAAAACGCCACTGATCATACTGAATAAATATTTACTCTGAATGTATGCAAAAATGTATGGCATATAGCTGTCTAACAGAAGTTAAATCCATTTCTCACTTATTCTGACAATGTACTTAACCCCAAATAAAAGAATCCAATAAAAATAGTTGTTAAATAATAGTGAAGTCACGTTGTAATAACAATAACTAATCTCTATCACTTCTTTTTCTGCTTTGCCAAAAGCCACTGTGTCAAGTGTCCTATTAGAGTTGCCGTATGTAGTTGTCCAATATGGCGGACCATCTCGCACATGCGCAGTACAGATCGGGCAGGTGGACCGATCGGGTAGTGACAGAAGCCTCGTCTCAATACCCCTCCTCGACTCCTCCTTTCCCTCACTCGCGTCCCTTCCTTGCGTCTTAGCTCCACCTCCGTAAGATGCGAGCGAGAGACACGAGGAGGTGACGCGAGGACAGAGGAGTCCTCAGGTATTAATTGGGATGTCCTCGTTCTCTCAAACGTCACTCTTAAACGACGTCTATTAATGATGACATGTGCACAGCTGTATCCCCTCTCATTAGACTTGTTTGAGACAAGCGAGACCTGCGCAGACCTGCACAATTGCGATCAACGTCTTGCTAGTGCGTTGCATGATGGTTAGTCATCTTGTCCGACTTGCTCTGGAGGCTCGCCTACATGAGACGTTGAAATCTCGCGGGACAAAGACGCCCGCAGACTTGAGAGCGACGCGCGGCGAGGCGGCGCAGTTTCTCTCCACGGGCTGCGGAAGCGAAATGCTTGATGGGAAACGACTTGCTGGTATCTCGAGCTGAGCGCTCATTGGTGGGTTTTACCCTGTGCTGGGGATGAAACGGGGGGTTACGTATTGTAACCCTAGTTATATAAACACAGGCGGAGCCCTCTACTGGACTCTATGGGTACTACTCTCTATCATGCTGTGCGTGCTTTCACCTACTGAATTTACGTAAACGTAGCCGGCCAATCGGGGCGAGCCTACCTGAATGCTACAGCCGCCGCCCCACTATCCTATACACTCTTCAGCGAGCGGACTAGGAAAGACAGGGCCCCCAGGTACCCTAGGTATCCCCTAGCTTCAGATACGCCCACCTCCAAGATTTTTTTAACGCTGCTGTGTGGACGGTCCGTTAGGAGTAAAGGAGGGGTTCGGCCTGAGTGTCGCCCCGCTACGGTCACCCCGGATCAAAAGACAACTTGGGTGTACCGACAGAGTGGTCAGCTCGGACACTCTTTTAGCCGAAGTCAAGGCAAGTAGCAATGCTGTCTTCCATGACAGTGCTTTCAGGGAGGAGAGCTCCAGAGGCTGAAATGGTTCTGTGACCAGAGCCTCGAGCACCAACGGCAGGTCCCACTGCGGGGCGGAGGCATGCACTACTGGGCGCTGCCTCCTGACCCCCTGCAAAAACCGCGCCATAAGCGGCTGACTGAAGGCTGACCTGCCTCCAAATCCCTCATGGCAGGACGAAATGGCTGCTGCATACACCTTAATTGTGGAATGAGCCAGCCCCCTGTCCACCAGTATCTGTAAGTAGGTAAGAATAGAGCCCAGCGTGCACGACAGAGGCTCTAGACTCCTTCCTTCACACCATCGCCGGAATCCCGCCCACTTTGGCCTGTAACAAGCTGTGGTGGATTCTGCTCTTGCTGCTTGGATAGTCTGAATAACGTTATCAGACAGCCCCACCTGTCTCAGCCTGTCCCTCTCAGGAGCCAAGCCTGGAGAGGTTGGCCCAGAGTGGGTAACGCCCCTATTGCACCTGCTTCCTGAGACAGCGCTCCCCAGACCTGAGGAATCGCCCAGGGCTGGCCCACCATCATCTGTGTTACCCCCGCGTTACCACGGCGCCAGGCGGCGATCTGGGGCCACCAGGAGGATTGACAGCTGTTCCCGCCTCACCCTCTCCAGGAGGGGGGGGATAAGGTGCAGCGGTGGAAAGGCGTAAAACAGCTTTCTTGGCCATGGCTCGTGTCTAAATGTGTCAACCCCCAAGGGCGGGTTGTCCCACCGAGCCAGGGAGAACCACAGGGCACAGTGGCTGTTGCGCCGATTGGCGAACAGGTCCACCTCTGCTCTACCGAACTGAGTCCAGACCTGCTTCACCACCTCCGGGTGAAGCCTCCACTCGTCTGGCAGGGGTCCGCCTCTTGACATGAGGTCTGCCCCCTTGTTCTCCCGTCCCGGGATGTGC